GCACCATTCGATTCAGCGTCGTCGAATTACCATTATATCAAGTTTTACCAAAATAAACAAATTCTGGTAGTTTGCCTTTATTTCAGTGGACTAAAAAGGAATTTAGCGCAACAGAAAATTCGGATAAAATGCATAGATATAAATATACCCGACAGAGGATTTTACAAAAGAAATAGAGAATATTTATGTAGGATCACGGGGTTTTATTGCGTTGACAAATATTCAAAGATTATCGAGAGCTAACATAGCTATCGCATTTGGTATCTTATCACGAATTCTAAAACTTGGAGAGTGGTGTATTTGGTTAGTTACCCTCACACCAAGGTCACATCGGTTCCCTTGGAGGAACATACCTTAGAAGTGGCAGGGGAAGAAGACCACTACGTCTCAAGTTAGTTGCTTTAGTTGTCCATACTTGTTAGGCAGAATCACACTTAGGTGATCCGCACATAATTCAATTCATCGCACAAATTCGGTTAGTCAGTAATTCTGAGGCTACTACTAGTAATAAACAACAAGAGTAGAGCRGATAGTTACACATAGTCCAAGCATTACACTGATCTGTTGTAGAACGAGTAATAAAAATATTATATAATATGTTGGGCCAGCTTAACGTACGAGATCTCAAGAGGGCCGAAAGAGACACAGCGATACGATGACTAAATCTTGGGAAATGTGGTGATTCGTTGGATTGTGAGGTATGTGTGTGAGGTAAAATGACCAGAGTTKTTGTTTCTAGGTCTCAGAAATCACCGATTACAAATCGTGAGGTTAGCCCGCATCTCGAGGGGAAGTGTTAGTAATGGATGTAATAGCGCACACGGCGATATGCGTCCTCTGCCCTGCGATTGGCGAACATCCTAGTAACTTGTAACAGYGCGCCCCTTGGCACTGCTATGTGTTGTAACACGGATACACTTCGTGCACCCCCACAATATCGTATCATCCTTTGCCTAGACAACACGTGGTTACACATCGATAATAGTTATTCTATTATATATACTGCTGCGTTTAACTCCGCTAGCAAGCTRCTTAGACTCTCTTTACTCTTAAACTCTTCTATCTTTTAAATTCTTCGACTCTCKTATATCTTATCTTAGAAACGGTTTGAAGAATGGGAAGGCAAGATAAAAACATTTTGATATTCTTAATATTCTCAAAATGATTGAGCCGCGTATTTCGAATATACGCTAAAAATCTATAATCTTTACAAGTGGTAAATAAATCGTTATCACGTTGAGTGCTACTACACGACTTCTGAAGGAAATCCTCGTCAGGCCACGCTCGTTATTTAGCATTGMATAAATGTAAAATAAATGTAAATAACTTCAAATAACTTCAAAAAATAAAGACCAAATAAATAAAATAAATAATTAACARTAATATGAGTTTTTTTCGCTTCAATTTGTACCTGTAATCACAGGYTAAGCTGATGGTTCGCAAAGTAAATTAGAAGTTGACGAAAAATTCGCAGACAATTCATATCCTTGTGCAATCATTTTTCTTTGCAGCCTATACAACCTACAACGTTCCACATTAGTTTGTGGTTTGTTTTCCTTATTTTTCTTACTCTTCTTCCTATGAAAACGATATTGACTTAAATACCATTAGAACTTGGATGGGTGACCACTTGAGGAAAAAAAATGAGAGGAAGAAGAGAAGTCACTTCATTCCGTAAATTTGAAATCGCTTTGCCCGCGCATCGTAAATATCGACAACTTCGTGGTGTCGATTTTTACTCTCACCACTTTTTCCCAAACGCTCCAAAAGAAGTATAACTTCAAAAATATATTTTGTGATCGACCGATTGTAGAAAATTTGAATGAAAGATTTAACGTCAACTACAATTCAATACCGCCATGTCCTGATAATTATTCAAGACGACCTTGTTCTCGTCGTGAAAATAGAACATAATGATTGAGCTCAAGGCCGTAGGCACTCAACATGCTTCCGGAACCATACAAGGTTTAGTCGAGTAAACTAAGTTCTGTACAATCTCGTGACTAGTCGTGTTCAGATGGTCCGCCAAGGATTCGGGCAATCTCTGTGGCAATAGAAGGCGTCGTATCTGGGAGAAGCAACAATTCAATCGTTCCAAGTAACGTCGACAACTATTTTCTTGATCATCCTTTCGTCTGTTCTTTCTTAAAGCTGCGCGTTTCGCACGTCTATTCAAAAACCCTTTCCCAGAAGTCACCCTTAATTTACTGGCGTCCATGTAAGTCAACAATGTCAGACAATTAAGCATCCACGTCTCCGTTTGTTCATATACGCTATGCTAAATTTAATATATATGCTTAATATAATATGTCGTTTATTCAATTTGTTCGTTTCAGTCATAACGTCAACTAGAAGACCGTAATTAGTTTTGTTATTGCATATACATTTTTCTACCGCCGGATGAACGTCCAAATTCACCGTAGTATTCTTCCTCAAGTCTATTACCTTGCTATAAATCAATCTCAGTATCGAAGAACTTTTTCCTTTTAACCCGGACGGACGATATCGTAAGCGAGTATTCTTCCATATTTTGTTGTTTCTGGATTATTATATTCTTCCTTTCTTCTTTTATCGCGATTAAACTTAACTCAGCAGCTCGTAACTTTTCATTCAATGGTAAATTCTGCAGGTCGAATAACAGACAAAATTTCTTTGTATGTCGAAATTTGTTGTCTAATTCACTCTTGACATGGTAAAAGGTACAAACGGTGTTTGCCGATCGTGCATTAATGCCTGGCTTGGCGATGGCCAACATACGAATGGAATTCTGACGTAAGTAAAACTTTCGCAGAGATTCCGGCACGTAAGCGGGACCCGTGGTTGTAGGACTTCTGGTGAAGCTAAGAAGGGCAAGAAGATTGCTTTTAAGACTAGCAATCATTTGTTTTATTTTCTCGTCCTTGTATAGATTACTAATGGATTTTCTTAGTTTTGAAACAGATGTACTTTATTACTTGAACTCGCGCTTGTATACATCAACAGCGTGCTGATTACTGCCACTRACATCAATCTTATCAGTAGCAGCATACGCACCGTGACAAAGTCATTCATTGACTTTATCTTTCCAAACACTTCTAAATCATAAGTCCGTAGTACGGGGAGCCACGACATTTGAACGGGTCCCGTACACCGCAATCTTGTAAGCTCATTTTCTCACATTCTCGTAAGAACAGATTTACTTAAAAATTTACACATGTTTCCCTTCAAGGAGGGGTGCAAGTACAACAGTTTGCCCACGTAAGGAGCTCACATAAATACTGTTCGGCAAATTTAAGGCGTTAGATCCGGTTTGTATTGCACGCTGAATAAGTTTAGTAGCGGCGGCGTTAGTGAAGTTGCAAGGGCGCGCTTTATCATGCGAAATACATGATAGAGCGCCTTGAAGTGTGTGGAGGGGATAGGATGCGTTGGGCCTTGTGCACGCGCTTCACTTACATTTTGGCTAGCTCAGAAAGCTGTTTGTTTCCTAATAAGAGAGTTCCGCAATATTGGCATTGTTCTATTCAGCTTAGCTGGCGTGTGCGAGGTTTGGTGAAAGGTGCGTGGAGTAGCACAAGCGAGAGGCAGGTGCGAAGATGGTTTTTGGTTCCTGTCACCAAAAGACTTGTAGTCGGGCAGTTGCATCAAAAGATTTGTAACGTGTCGGCGGGCTACCATCGAGGGAAGGGTTGTAGCCGCTCAGGTTACAACCAGAAATTTGTGGTTTGGTGCCTGCCACCAAGAGAGTGTAGCTATTTACTAGCCTACCAACGAAAGAACGCTTGTAGCCGCCCAGACTACAACTAGAGGTTTGTACTAATACTGGCTAGCACCGTGGATGAGACTTGTAGTCGGGCAGTTGCAACGAAAGATTTGTAACGTGTCGGCGGGCTACCAACGAGGGAGGGATTGTAACCGGACGGGCTACAACCAGAGATTTGTACCAGTACTGGCTGCCATTGTGGGATAAGGTTGTAGCTAGACAGGCTATCATTAAGTAGTTGTAGTGCKACTTGCGATAGAGAAAAGCGTGCGTCTGTAGAGCGGATATTAGGCCGAATCCGCGAGAGTCCGGTTACGGGTTTGCAGCGGAGACGTAAGGTAAGAGAGCTCCCTATCGTGAGACCGAAAGTACACCTCGCGACGTTATTGCGCTAATATACTCTTTCTTTCAGCCTTTTGCTCATCATCATTTGTTTATACTATTTTTCCTTTACCATTTATGTATTACTTGCCGTACTTTTGCTAAAAGATCGTCACTTGTATTATTATCATTGAAGTGCAACATTTGTGATAATACCATGTATCGATGTCGAGCCATTATTTTCCGGAAAATATTCCTTTTCAACAGTTCGTCCGTAGACCAATA